GTCCCCAACTCAGGGGACTTCGGGTGGCAGTATACGCCGTGAAGTTGTTTGTGGCCTGCCAGTAAACCCAAAGCAGAAGAAGTGACGTCAGCAGCTTCATTCGTGTAATCCTCCCCCAGGGACTTATTCCGGTGTGAACGTGATCTGCTCTTTAGTTCCATAGGGGAACTAAATGCTGGGAACTAAGTACTTGGTGTGAAAGCGGCAATTACTTTACAAGAGAACCAATAAACTAATGGACGTTGAGATACAAGGTGTGCATTAAATCAATTGACTTTAATATAAACTCTAGTTCTGCTCATTTTAAATAAATGTCAACATAGAAGTCCCGCCTGCTGCAGCTTTAGTTTCCGTTGGTGTTGTTAGGGAATACAACTCAGGTGCTTGAGTGCATGCACAGCACCTGTGGGCATCAATCATACCTGGTTCCCTTTGAGAGGGCAGGTCCTCTGATGGACCTCCGGGACTCTCCATCTCCACATCCACCGCCATGGGGGACAGTGTCTCCACGGCAACTGTAGCCTGCGGCGACAGGCTGCATCTCATTGAAGGCTGGAGGTAACGCTCAAAGTCCAACCCGGGAATCTCCTGAAATTAAAAAAGGATAACTAGAAAAGGGAAAAACGTTTCTATCACATATTTTCTGCTCATGTTCAGGTGTCTATCAGTATGTCGTGTCTCTACTGTGACATGTTAACATGCTTTAATGTTCAAAAAGCTCTTTATTTTTCTCATACTGCCGTTTAGAGATGTCCCGCCCCTTAACCTATCATGTCAACTGTGTTGGAGCTTTTAGCCAATAGATGCCAAGTGTTACATAGGGATGTCACAATAGTAAACAAAAAGGAGTCCAATGTAGGTGTTTCGCGCAGTGTGGGAGAGAAACTCCCCCTGGAGGGGTTTAGCCTCTGCAGACCATTTACATGCACAGAAACCTATATGTAACAATACAGGAAAGGAAACCCCTCAAAAGCATAATGGGGCCCCTTTAATACAAAAAGAAGGGAAATGTGTTTACCTCAACAACGTCAGGGGTTTGGCACACAGACTCTGACGCCTCCACAGCGGGAGGGGGGGAGGTGGGAGTCACACAGGGTGACAACATGAAACCGAGAGATGGTGAGGAATCAGGGGCATGGGAGACAGGAAGAGGAGTTTTACAAGGAGAGGGGGAGAGCCTTGAAGAGAGAGGGAGGTCCACATCGACGGCCTCAGAGGGTTCCTCCTGCTCCATGACGACAGAGATGGACGGAAGTGAGCGTGCAGGTGTTGGAGTGTTCAGCTCAGGATCAGCAGCCGTGTTCTCCTGCACGGAGACTGCTGGGTGCGCAGGGCTCTTTCCCGGCCGAGTGTCGTCGGAACACACTTCCTTGGCAGGTGAGAAACAGAGGGAGACGTTTTCGTTTCTGTTCCGCGACGCCTGAGGAGTGCCGCGCTGAGACTTGGGTGTTTGAGTTTCTCCGAGGGTGAGACGGAGGAGGGCGGGAGTTTGGAGAGTGTGAGAGGGAGAGGCGGCGGTGGAGACGGGGGTCTGTGAGAGAGCGGGGGACTGCCGGGTGAATCTTCTGGGGGTGAGGTAGTTGGAGGAGGGGGAGGCCTGAGGGGCGGCACTCAGGCGGCTGGATCTCCTCACTGAACCTAGACACAAAAAGATATTGTTATTCATCCAATATTGCGCAATGAACCTGGAACGTGTACTGTAACAATGCACATTTCCCCGCTGTAGGACTAATACAGGAATTCTGAAAATACATAAAACGCTGACAGATGACATCACAATCACCTCCTGACGGTCTGGCTGGGCTCTCCACCCGGAAGAACCCTCCATCGAACACCACCTGAGCAGCGGGTTGCGGCTCTGCTTCAGGCTGTGGTTCCTGAGAGTCTAAGTTCCCAGAATCCTTTGCTGCTTTCTCCGCCTCGTCTGCCTGCTGTTTAGCTTTCATGGCCGCCTTCACGGCAGCCAGGCGAGACTTTGCTCCTGCTGCTTTCGTTCCTGCGGGTTTGGCAGGTGCAGCTGATGGCTTCTGTCAAAAACACACAAAGGGTTTAATCTCTTTACATCGAAACAAGGACACACCGTACCTCTTTAAACAAACACGTTTAGTATGCACTGCAAAGAGTCCTTACCTTCACTGCTTTCCTCTGGCGCGGTGCTGGCTTGTGCTCCTCCACCCAGCTTTGGCTCTCAGCTACTTTCAGAGCTTCAAACTTCTTGTGCACATCCTCTACCTACAAAAACGGCACAAATAAGGCACGGCACGTTTATTTATACAGCGCCTTTCAACACAGCGCTTTACAAACATTAAAAACATTAAGAGCGTTCAGATAAAGTGCAGCAGAATAACTTTATAACATGTAAACGCAAAGAGAACAAACTAACACAAGCTAAAGTAGAATAAAGGTACAAAATACAGATTATTGAAAGACCTCAACATATATAATTAGACCCTCCAGAAAAACGCGATTCTGCGATCGCAGAATTTACCGCATAATCAGCAAAATGGCGCAGATTTCCAAAAGGCCGCATAATCCCCGCATTTTTCCACACAAAGTTGAGGGAAAAAAGTTGACTCGTCTTGACGTGACGTCATCAGCTCGCGCATCACAGAATGTAAACAACACTGTATAGAGTGAACGTGTGGAGCTCACACGATAGAGAAAACACCAAGATGAAAATATCTAATCCATCTCATTTACCGACGAACATTTCTACTAAAGACCGGGCAAAAAGTGGGGGGAAACTATTCTGCACCCCGTGCAACTGTGTGTTGGAGCATAAGAGAAAATCGACGGTGACGACCCACTTTGATTCATTCAAACATTTGAAAATGCTTTCTGCTGCTGCGGACAAGAAAGCCAAACAACTCACGTTCACCGAGGCATCAACCTCCAAAACCCTTTCGAGGGCTACAAGAAACGAGGTGAGTAGCCTACAAGATTGAAGCTGGTCAGATAACGAACGAGTAAATGAAAACAGAATGAGGCGGAGAAGTGTGTGTGTGTGTGTGTGTGTGTGTGTGTGTGAGATTAAAA